CTGAAGCACATACCAAGAGGTCCAAGACAAGTGTAAGGATATGTCAATTAAAAGCCATTCAACATGCTTAATACATAAAATTATTCTGGAAATGTAGTCTGAAAGATTGATGTATAAGCCCACCCATGGGCAGTCTTAACGGTAAAGGTAAACCAATGAGACTATAAATGGGTAATACCTTTCCTCATGATTTATGTGAGATTGATGTTAATGTATTGCTATTATTGGGTTTAAATTTAAACTTTAAATTACACTTGCAAAAAATGGTTAGCACAATTTTTAAACTATAAGATTAATACATTCGAAAAGTAAAAATTAAAATTTAATCTAAATTGTATAATTTTCAAGGCACATATATCTCAAACATACCAAAGTAGAGTAAAATATGCAAAAATTAGAATAACAGCACAATCACTTAAAAAAGGTCAATAAACACATTTCCAGAACCCTCTAATTGCAAAAAAAAAAATAATGCACATAACTGATTAGAGAAGCATAAGAAAATTCAATTCCATTCCCAATAAATATTTAAAAAAACCAAAGCAAGATTTCAGTTTACTACAAAACAGAGATCAGAACTGAAGGGATCCTCCAAAAACTGATGGTGATTCAACAGACTAAACTCTTTCTATTCGAAACACAACGACCACCGATCCGCAGATTCTTTTTCACCCTCTTTGAATGATAGTATTACTGCTCTGTTATAACTAAACTCGAACTCCCTTGTTAAGACTAACCATGCGTGCTGAACTATCCATCTGGGAAGCCCTCATGGCTGAATTCCTATAGCCTCCAGAATATCCGCTTGCTCCTCGTGATTGACCTGACCTGTCCCTAGAATATCCACCAGCTTGGCCTAGCCCCAACATCCTCCCGCCACCCGCATATCCTGATCGGTTATTACCTTGCCTTCCCTGAGTGTAAGACGAGTTGTCCTGCCACTTGCCAGCTGCAGCACCTGTCCCAGCATATTCCTGGTTGTCCCTCCGCCTATGAGACAGATCTAATCCGCCGCCTCCTATTCTCGTCTCAATTGCTCTTTCATTACTTTCAGCAAGAACTGACAGCTTCTCTGTTAACTGGAATGCCAGAGCCTGCAACCTCGAGTGCTCAATTTCATGGAAGACGATGCAACGCGTAGGCTGATCCCAACTAGCGTGAAGCTCCTCATTGATCATCATCTTACTAACAATGCTGTGAGTCTGGGCTTCCGAAATGTCAAACATTTTGGTGAGTTGGTCCAAGCTTAGTGAATCGTAGGACGAGGAGTAGGTAAAAAGGTAAGTCCTCAAGCTTCTTCCTTGATCTTGGCTTTAAGCATCTCAAGGACGTTCCTCCCGGTTCCTGAGGACTTCCAGACATCCAGAGAGTTGATGACATCGAAGGCCTTCTGGAAATCTCCCTGGTAAGTGCCCTGGTGGCCGCCATTACATGGTCTCTGACATTTTCTGGGGACCGTGAAAGTTTGTCTCTCATCACCTCAAGCAATCGTCGGAACGTCTGCTTATGACCTTACGTTTAGCGTCATGGGTTTGGCTGCATTTAGGGACATCAAGTAGCATAGCGCAAATCAGATGAACAGCCTCCAGTAACTCAAGATTTATGTCATATGGTATGATCGACGTCTTCTTTCAAGCCTTTCTGTAAAAAATCAATAATTTAAGATGAGTAAATTAACTTATTGCCATAATTCATTTTTAATGTGCTTTCATGCAATCCTTTGTTTCCTTTATAAAGCTAAAAATTCGCCAAATTTTGAAATAGTCACTATCAACAAGCATATGGAAGAGACCTGGACTTTTTAGTTCTCAAAGATCTCTCTCTTTAATGGCACTTAACACCAGAACAAATCATTTTGCATGATTGCTATTTTCAATCAAAGAGAGATTTGAAGCTTAAACTCGTTTTGAGGGATGTCTTCAAAGAACCAATACGAAAACAGGATGAGAAAGGTCTGCCAAACATATTCTAGTATTTATATATCTTTTTTCAAATCTTACTATCATATTTACATTTTTATCAAATAGGCACAATCAACTGAAAATCAAACGCGTAATATTCAATCACAGTTTATGTTGAATGTCACCCTATGAAATTCTTAGAAATTCGAAGAACCATTGTCATGAAACAGAGAGAAAACTTCCAGTCACAAAGAAGTACCCTTAAGAATGTACATTATCACTTACTATAGAAAGGCCATAAGCCTAAGATAATACCTGGTACAGGAGTCTTCTCATGGTACTCACTTTGGGAAACACTTGGGCAAGCAACTCCTTCACCCTTTCACTGATACAGTTCGAGAAAGGCAGCTATGTCCTTCGGCAACTAGTCCAACCCCTAAATGCACATAGGCCCAAGCGCGGCCATACCTGTTGAAGAGGACTGGGATAACAACATGCCATCTGCTGAACATGATCCTGTAGTTGTCAGTAAAGCAAGTCACGGCAGTTGAGATTCATCCAGGAGTGCATGATGTAAATATCCAAAGGCTGCCCGGGCTTTTGTCTCTCGTCTCCATGCTGTATATGAGGGAAACCAGAAAATATCCATCATTGTTCTACTTTTTCAGGAATGTGGGCTTTCGAGGCACAACACTAGGAACACACTAAATCAGACAGGGCCCCGACTCTCCTCCTCCCCAGCTTTCCTCGCCATCTCACCACTCCTGTTTCAGGCAATTTCCTCATATCATCATAAACCTTCTTGTGGCTTATAATAGATGGGGACTCAACCGTCCTGTGGGCTACCTTGCAGCCCGCTTTGGAACTCTCCAACCCCTCAAATAGTCTGCACATCTTGGCACGAACTGACAACTAGGCTCATCCCTGAGTCTTTCAACATCCTCGCGTGTGTGCGGAATTCATGGCTTGCAAGCTTCTTGAAACTCGTGGCTATCTTCTCAACAACAGGCAAACCAAATTTCTCACCATACCCGAATTGTCCCATATCTGCCGGCTTCTTGTTTCATTTCATCGAGGTCAATTTTGTTCCATTCACCCACAAATTATGATACTGAGTAGAAGTCATTACGATAGCATATTCTGCACAACCTTCATTACCTCTTTCCACACATTTATTGGCAGTGTCCACTAAGCCTGGCATTAAACATAACTGAGCAAGATAACACTAAACTAAGAATTTCCGCTTCTGAGCAGAGTCCCGTCGCAACCTTGTCAGTGAAGGTAGCTGCTCAACTTGCTCAAACTTCCAGTTTCCCTTCCTACCACAGCAGCCACAACCTCCTAACTTTGTTGTTAAACAGTTTCCCAGTGACCTTCACTAAGGATTCTTTGAACTTGGCTTGTCAATCAGCTTATCTTCTTACTCAACTTCTTCTCCCAGCCCTTTCATTACATCATCAGCTTCTTCCCCCCTGTCTCCTCCTCCTCAATCAGCATCAGATTCCTTCTCCAATTCTAAGTTGTCAGATCCTCCTCCAAACTCTGAGTCCCTCATCTTCATCCTCCTCAGAAATGTCCTCATCTCTTCCGCTTCTCCTCTCACTCTCAGGATCTCCCTACACTTAGTTAATCAAATCCTTCATAATTGCTTATTTTCTTTTCAGTTTTCTGCTTCATGGAATCAAGGCGTTCTGCAGTTGCTCTACTCTCTTCTTTTTAGCTTCCTTATTTGCCCAAGTTGTTCAAAGCTCCTCCAACATCCACAGAGCTTTTGATATATAATTAGAACCTGAACAGACCTCAGTCACCCTCCGTGACCTGCTCAGCCTGCTTATTTTATCTTGTCAAAACTCTCTTGCAGCTAACCAATGCATTGAGTCTTCATAGCATTCTTCACTGGGTCACTGTGGCAAGTCCATCTCTCTCAAAATCGTTTGTCCTTGGCTGACCTGACCACTCGCTTTTGCCATCGAATCATCACTATCACTTGCCAGCCCTTTCATGTATCTGCTTCCAGCAGTTTCGTGGTGGCCTCAGCTCCCGCCAGTAGTCAACCTCGTCCTCATAATCCTCTCCTCTCCTCGTGCGCTACCACCCCTATTTAAACAAAGAAAAACTATCAAACCCAGAGAACAAAGAACAGAGAAACCCATGACAAAAGACTGCTTTATTCCATAACAATAAAGATAGAATATTTCATTAATCCACCAACCTAGCCAGAAACGTGACGACATTCTCTTGATGCGGAATCACATGAAGTGAAATAATCTGTAAATCAAACAAAAACGCAAAACAAGAACTGCATAAGTCCTACAACCAATCCATGTCCAATACCCTGAAGCCGTACACAAGCCTAACCATCTTTCGAGAATCATAACAAAGTACCATCCAGTACGTACCCCCCCCCACCAACACAAGCACCAACCTCATTATCACAAAAACAAGCCCAAAAGAAATACACACTTACAATTCATGTATTTGTCATATACACAAATTTAGAACACAACGAATATCAAAAACGCTAAAACTTTATTTCACAGACAAATCACACAAAAACAATGAATCTAAGAATTAATATTCTTATTTCTTAGGGTTGATTCACATCCTTAAAAAAAATTATTCAACAAATTTTTATTAGTGAAACTCACTATAACCCGATAAACTAAAATCATTAAAACAACATTTACACCCAAACGAAAAACTCCATAATCAATCGCCCGAGCATTTGACACCTCTTACATATTGACAATTCCGATATCGGCATTCTCCTTTCTTTCTTTCCCAAAAAATTCGGCAACCAAACAGAAACAGAGACGCCGAATGATAAGGTGATAAAATATTCTTACTTGCTTGAGTTTATCAAAATTTTTCAAAAAACACATATGTATCCACACTTACTTCGTATAAAACGAGAATCAAAATTATAACAATATAATTTGAACATAAAACAAACTGAAGAACTGAAGCATGATCGTTCTACTATCATTTTCACAAACTCAAAATATGAAAAAAACCAAATTCCGGTGACGGTATCTCAGTTTCGTTTCTTCTTCCAAAGATTTCTCGGGAGCCAAACAAAAGAGAAAGAAGAGACTGTTCCTGGCGTGGTAAGATTGGAGAAGAACGAAGATGGCTGCGGCACTAACAGAGCGTAGTGAGAAGAGCGAGCAGAGGGGGTTAGGTTTTGCTATATAATCAAACAAAGAGATGTTTTTCATATTGACCGGGTTTACGTTATAGAGCCCTATTTTTAAACCCGACTTCCTAGGTACACCCACTAATGGGACGTGATTTCCAATTAAAGGGGATTTTATCTCTAGTCCTATGAAAGTTTCGCCAGAAAGTTTATTCGAATATAACTTTGTTCTAAATTTAAAATAAATAAGGCTCCGTTTGTTTCATTTGGGAATACTATTATTAGAATATTCCTAACAAAATTAAACATTAAACTTTCAAAAACTCACAATATTATCCAATATTTCACACGTCTTTTTAAACCCTTAATTTATTAATTTAATTAAATACTCTTAAATATTTTTTTTGAAATTGCACAAACCCCCTTACAACCCACTATAATAGATTCCTGTCACCACTGTCGAAGATGCCAGAATCTGGTATAAGGCGCACTACGGATTGAATCTGTCGATTAATCACCGATCTAGCCTTTTCCGTTGAGAGCCATTAGCGTACTATAATTAGAAAAAAAAATTATATAGGTCGGGTCTCTTTATTGATGGGCCCATACTTATTCAACTGACTTACTAAGTACCCCATTGCCTTGATTTCCTTTTTATGCTCTAATAAATTTGTGACGAGACGTGATTTCAAAAATCACAATAATACTACACTCACAATATTTCTTACTAACTTTCTCTCACAAATACGATGTGTTTTTGTATTGGTCAGCTTGTACTGAATCTCGCCTGCCAACAATGGGTCTCCTTGACCAATTGTAAGCTTCACGTCATGTTTGTAGAGAAAGTTGGGAGAAATGTTTGTCACCCTATCTTTATTCGTCAAAATTAAGTTTGACACTAAATACATGTGTTTTCCATCCTTGATTTTTCAAGAAATAAAAAGGTTTTTTTTTTAAATAATTGAGGTATTCGGGCATATTGTGAGTCTGCCTAATTCTTAGAGTCATAGAACACTCTACAAGCAAAAACCAAGGTATTGTACAATTATGGTAGGTGTCTCTCTTAGCGACTTAGACAAATTGTGTTTTTTTATCTCCAACTCTTTTGAGGTTGAAAACAATGACAATTGTCAAAATTAAAGTTTGACATCTAAATACATGTGTTCACCTTGATGTTTCAAGACAAATAAAGGTTTTTTTTCTTTTTTTTCTTTTTTTTAATAATTGAGGTATTCGGGCATATTATAGGTCCGCCTAATTCTTAGGTATAGAACACTCTATAATCTCAATAGACTGTAATTGTACATTATAGTAGGCGTCTCTCCTGCGACCAAACACAATTGTGGTTTTTTACTCTCCACTCTTTGAGGTTGAACACAAATGACAATTGTTTTCTTGAAATTTTACATATAAATCAATCTCTCCTACTGTTAACCAACAATGGGTTGACCGAGTGATAAAATGCTTGGGGCCAAGGAGTTTTGCTCTCCTTGTGGTTTTGAGGTTAGATCACAAGAACGTTTGCTAATATTGTTGGCCAGACTATAGGGTTTTGCCCTATTTTGAAGTCTTGTTCGGGTCGGGGGACTAGTCGAGGTATGCGTCGCTTGCCTGAACATCTCTGGTCACAAAAAAAAAAAAACAAAAACCACTCCCCACATTAATGAGTTTGTTAATATTAATATACTAAGAATTTATAACATGAACGACCTTTGAGTGGTTCAATAGGGACTTTTGGGTGTATTACTCAAGTGTTATGAGTTCAAGTCCTCCTCTTACTGATATGGTAGCCACTGAAGATTATAATCTGACTGGGTAATAAATATTTGCTTAGTTGTCTTCAGTCCGTTCATTTAATTTAAAAACTTATATGACTATAATTGATGGCATTTTTTGTTATTTATTTAATTACATTTAGGGTAGATTATTGTTCTAACCCAAATAATATAAATATAATTGAAATTATTAATAAAAACCTGGGAGTTACGGTATGATGCAGGGGAGGACAAAAAGCCATTATAGTATTAATGTAGCTAACCCATAATCTTCGTACTCATAGTAATACATAAATTATACATTTAGGGTTCAAGCTATAATAACTTAAATTTTTTACTTAATTTAAACATTATAATAGTCATTTATACCAATCAAATCAATGGTTTTAAATGGTGGGTGGCACATAAATAACCACGTGCACTATCCTTTACAACAATTAAAATCAAAATGCTGAAAATTTAAATCACTATTCGAGTAAAAAACTCAGTTTGATCTAGCATGACCCTATGATATCTAATGTAAAATATCTCCTCTATTTATCTGAAGTTATTGTCATTTACTCTTGATACGTTTATAAATCCTAAACACTGAAAATGAGGGACAAGGAATGTATTCCTAAAACACTTTTTAATTCGGTATTGAAGAAATTCACTCCAAGTCCCTAAACACTTGGTTTATGGAATGTGGAAAGCAATGGGGTCTGTTCGACCCAAACAGTTTCCAAGGATGGAGAGCGTCAGACATTCGCCCAAGCCCTCCAAGTCCAAGCACAACAAGGAAGCTCAAGTCCCACAAAAGAAGCTCAATGTTCAAATGTCAAATTTGGCCCAATTTGCATTATAAAGGGGAAAGTTCCACATGACCCCTTATTAGATCATTTGCATGATTCTAAAGGCCCAATTCTTACGCCCTTATTATTAGACTTAATTAGGACCATTGATTAGCTTTTGATCTAATGAAGCAAGCCTTAGACAACTAATGGGGCGTTAAAGAATAGATCCTAGACAAGGAATTGTGTCTCTTTTTGCATTAAAGAAGGCATGACTTTGCTTTTTGAATGAATAACTTGTAATATTTAGCTAATTTTATTTCATTTTCTTTTATTTGTAATTTACTTGTTTATCTTTGTATTGCCTATAACGGCAACTATTTATTGTATCATTAGCTTTTTGAAATATATAAATTGGTTTTATCCTTTGAGAGAACTTTTGTGTTCTTGATTGTGCCTTCTTTATCCAGTCTTGGCAAGGGGATTTGATGGTGAATCAATTCAGTTGGTAGAGCAATCCTTTAGGCTTAAGTGTTTCTACTTGTCTTGGTCTGGATTTACAAGAGTGTGAGTTTGTTCATGTTTTAATGTTTGGGCCGAATTTCAACTAGGTTTTAGGGCATGTTTTGTTGTTGATGTTGGATATGGATCATTTGGTATCAGAGCATAGATTGTGAATTAGAGTAGAATTGTTTTACGGGTTGAACTTGTGTAGTTTTGGTCGGAAATTGAGTTGAGGTTGCAATTTGGAAAGTGTTTTTTCGTGAGTTGTTTTCCTCTCATTTGCACGTCATTGAACTTTTTTTGTTTTTGTTCTCTTTCCTCAAACATTATTACCCTAACTCCTCCTTTACATCTTTCCTTCTACCAATTCCCTCCAATTCCACAAACCCTTCCTTCCCACCAAACTAACCATAACCTTAACCAACCCAACATACTTAATCAGTCTAATCTTACTAAAAAAGTAGCATTCTAGATTACTATCACTTCACTCAAATCACCACAACTTATACACTTCCGCCTTCCTCCCAAATTTCACTTTTCCCATATTCAAAAAGTATGTGCTCATTCGAGGTTACTGTTCACAAAACCAACTCACCCAAAGTTCATGGCAACAAACCCTAACCTCTTCACCTTCACTTCACCTCCACCCCTAATAGAGTTTGCCAACCTAAGTACAAGTGAAATTGATGCGGTTAGCAACAAATAATATATGATGGCCATGATGGTTAACATGTCTAAGGACATAGCCAATTTATCCCAACCCAAACCATCCATGTAGAAACCTCCAACCACCACAATAGGACGAGTACACTCCACCATAGAAACCCACCCACGAGTGGAGAGATAAAGATAAGTTAATGCTTCCTCTAGTAAACCGCGCACCTAGGAGGAAAGAGAACTTTGGATGATACGGGTATTAAGATAGACTTACCCGAATTCATGGAAGTCTTGACCCAATGACTTCGTTGATTGTTGCATAAGATTGATAGGTTTTTGAATTCAAAACTACAATGATAGAAAAGATGCAAAGTGGCCATATTGAAGTTCAAGAGTATGCCTCCTTGTGTAGGAAAATACAAGAAAAAGAGAGAAAGGAAGGAATACTAGGATTAGGTCATGGGAAAGTTGAGGAGAGTGTTGAAGAAAATGTTCTTACTCGACAATCACAAGTAAGACCTTTATCTTAAACTCTATCATTTGAAGCAAGAGATAAAAGTTGAAGAGTGTATTCGAGAGTTTGAAGGTTGATGTTGAGAAGTGATATTCCCAAAGAGAAGAAGCATACAATTACAAGGTTCTTGGCGGTTTGATAAGGACATTACAACAGATTGAGTTGCAAACTTACTTTCTTTGAGGATGTTTGCAAGCTATTCCAAAAGATTGAGAAACAATGAAAAGCATGAAGTCCTTGGCCCCAGAAGCGCTTTAAAGAGATAACTACCAAAGGGTTCACCTTCCTACACTAAACCATATGACACCTATGCTATGATAAGACAAAGCCAATGAAGCACAAAAGAAAACACAAGTTTTGTGAAGCCTGATACTCCATGGTCTAGATTGAAGAACAAGAATTTTTTCAAGTGTCAAGGTTATGGACTCTTCCAAGTCACTGCCACACCGCGGGTTTATGACCCTTAGAGGATTAATGAGATTGTGATGCATGTCAAGGGATTTTAGTGAAGAAGAGAAAGTAGATAAGAGTAAGAATGAGGTTACTGAAGAAGCTGATAGTGAGAGATGCTTATGCTCAAGGGTTGCTGCATACTCAAGTAAACCCTCAAGAGAACCAAGGGAGAACTTGTTTCATAAAGATGCACCATCAGGGAAAGTTGCTCAATGATCATAATAGTGGGATTGGTACCATGTTGCCTCCACCATACTTGTGGAGAAATTGGGGTTGCCGATTGTAAACCATCTCATCCATACAAGCTAGCAATGGATGAGCAATAGACACTATCCAAGTAGTCAAGCAG